ACATCTTTCGATTTTGTACAGGCACTCCATTTTTCCCCGTCTCTCTCCGGTTGTTGGTCGTTGTGCAAGTGCTTACTAGTGCTTAATTGTGTACGTGTGGCAGGGCGTCTTTTTATTCACCGCCGGAAAACCTTTATGTATAGCAGAAGAAGAAAAAAAATTATGTACCTTTTTTGTGCACACCTCTTCGCTTCCACACTCACGTGCATTTTTACTTCATCTCTTTGTCACCCGGGTTCCACTCGATTCATCTATTTTTTTCGCTACCGGAATTGTACTTGTGTGTTTAATGTATGTATGTGTGTGTTTACAATGTGTAGCTTTTTGTTCAAATTTATTATCTCCACTCGGAACAAGGGTAAGTTTACTTAAAATCACCTTGCTCCATAATTATGTCGCATCTTGCAATACTAGATGGGATCGTTTGTCAAAATGAAATTTGAGCTTTGAGAGGGAATAAAAACGACAAATTTATCATCAACTAACGAATCTACTTTCAATCTACTTTCTAAAACATCAACAGTACCGAATCATTAGTCGAAGCGTTTAATTTTCATCTTTTCACTCAAAATGCTCTCCATAAATGAGCGCGCGTCAGTCGAAGTGCTGTTACGGTCTCACTCCATCTGAGCACTTGCCTTTCGAACGCTTTTGACATTCATTTTAAAGCTGTCGCCAATTTTCGAAAACATTTCCGTTTCATAGCGTCATTTCGTTTGTGTGTATGTGAGCGAACTCACAATGTGCTGTGTATAAATCATATACTGTCATATTAGGTACTTTTAGTGTTTGAATTTTGACAGAACTTCTGCGGTCATCACCTAGTTGCGCCACATATCACATCGTTCCATAGACATTGTGAGTTCGGTGTGAGCGCGCCTTTCACGCAACAGAGTAGACGAACAGCAACGCACTATTTGACCGTTTACCCTTAATGCCAGTGTTTGTCACCAAACAAAATAACGAACACAATTTTGTTTGCGGTGAAACATCCTGTTCCGGTCGGTATAATTTAAACAAGGCATTAGACAAAAGCGGCAAATAAAAACGAAATTACAATGTTCATCGCAGTGTGGTGTGCGGTGGTAAAAAAAACATCCACGCTGCTGGCATCACAAACAATAGTCACACTTGACAGGGAGAGAACGAGAGCGAAAGAGAGAACAAAAAAGTCTATGTTATCAATAAATACACTTACCTGCGTATTTCACTCATACACAATACACATCCTCAAACCAATGGACATCACTTGAAAAAGAAATGAATGAAGCGAATTAAAAAAGGCGAAAGAGAATGGAGCAGGGAGGAAGGGATGGATCTTTTTTATGAAAAAAGAGGTGGAAAACATCCAGAAAGCAGACGGAATCGGAAGCGGTTCCAAATGTGGAGGCCAAAAACTACTCGCATCTTTTCGATTTGAATTTGGTTAGTTGGTGGCGGATGTGCATGTAGATAAGTGCGTATATTGTGCTTTGTGTACTGTTGCTGTTGACGGTTGCTTTTTTCGCCTCCGGTATGTATGTGGCGTATTCGTCTCTGTGAAGCAAAGACAATTGAAAAATGAGGGCCATTTGTTACTGTCAGCCGATTGCTATTTAGTAGATGTTTGTATGCGCTCATTCGCCATTTTTCGTTATAAGTGTGTGTAAATAAATAATCCGTATTTTACCGCTTTTTTCTCTCTCGCTCTTCAACATTATCGGTCATTGTCTCTTTCTCTGTTTCTCATGTGTGTGTGTGTGTGTGTGTGTGTATTGTCTCTTATTGCTATGTGTCTAATTTCATTGTACCTGTTTTTACTTTTGTTATGCACCACAGAACCGAGCCAGCCACATGAACCCCAGTCGAACGCCTCTCGTGTCTGAGAGTCCATTTAAACAAATGATTTCGTGCAGATTTAAAGCTTTTTCATTCGAGCACGTTTCCGATTTCCCCACACGGTTACGCTTGATACACACTTGCACTGGAAGAATAAGGAACTAAAATGATTTTGTTATGGAATTAATAAAATTACAGCAATTACTTAGATTAGATTTGACAAATTATATTTGTGCACATTGAACACATAGATAGATGATTTGATAGCTCCACCGAAAGTCTTCATATGAATAACGGCCCATCATTCGTTGGAATGGCTTTCCTTTCTCTCTCTCCATTTTTTCTCTTGTTCTCTTCTTTTTGCCGTAGATAATCTTTATTTATCAATTTATTTTCACTCCGTTGTTTTGTTGAGATTTTTGCGGAGCTGCAATTAAAACGGTAAAAAAGTGTTTAAAATAGAACGTCAAATGGATGGATTATCCGAGCAAAATTGAGGTCACATTTCATACATCCCATACAAAATTCCATTTATACGTATGTTCAATGTACACACATAGCAGAAGCCAGACCAAAAGAGGAAGAGGGGAAAAAGCCGTCGGTTTTTCTTCGAAATCAGATTCGCATTCGCAATGAAAATCCACATTCGGTTACCATGGGCTGTATTCAAGCAATAACATAATCTAACAAATTCCATTTTCTCTGAACGATACAGACATATGCTAGCATTCAATTTTCTCACAGGATCTTTGCAATAATAATTGTAACCGAATATATTTTTCATTACGATTATTTCTTGTTTGTATTGTGTGCTACTCGTGTTTCGCATTCATTTTATTTGATAAATAAGTGCGATAGAGATTGCAGAGCAACGACAAGCACAGTCATGAGCGAGAAGCGAGAGTTTGCAAGTTGGTTGATGTGTTTGTGGCTTAAGCAATAATTAAGTTTACTGCATACTTTTCCAAGACACCTTCCATATTTTTGCTGTCCAATATCATACCATTGAATTGAAGTTGATATACTTCTCAGCAGGATTAGTTTCAGAGGACCTTCGTTTTATTTGTCTGTTTGCTGTTGTGTGTGACGACGACGACGACGACAAAAGTAAAAGCGGATACGATATGTTCTCTATTGTCATATGATGTAAATTATTCTCTCTTTCTCAAACTGATTAAGTGAATTGCCGTGTTCGTGAGTCGCATGGGATTTGTCAGCAATTCATGCAACATCGAATAAATTTTATTTGCTTCGGCGATGTATTGATGTTACTTTCATCATTTTCGGCGATGTTTCGCTCACACATAGACAATGAACGAAAGCGAACACGAGAGGCCGAAAGAACCAACAAAAATAATAAAGAAAGAGAGAGAAAAAATCAGTAAATATATTAAATAAATGGCACGGGCTTAATGAACTTGGTAGACACCGAAGTCAGACATTCAAGCCGACAGAGTCGTTACACATACATATAATTGCACAATATATTACGGCTGACGGTGCTGCTGTTGTTGTTGCTGTTGTGCCTATTCACATGCTATTTCGCTTTGGAAAAAAGGAAATGTCGGAACGCCATTCATTCAGTCATACAAAAGAGTGACGCGAGATTGCGATAAAGCCACTCTCGTGTTGTTTTCGAGATGTAACTGATATTAATGCCCAAGTTGATATATAAAAAAGTTGGACTCCGTGCACAAAACTCCTATCCGATAAGTATTATGCCAAAGCGTGGCCCATTTGACTATACACATACACTTGTGGATGCTTTACGTTTTTAGACTGTTTACGATATTGAAAACGAAAACTCGAAAGTTTTTTTTTTTCTGCAGTTCCCTAATGAACACAGTAGAAAGTGTGAGCGCACAGTGCTCAAGTTCACGCTCTCACACCGACCAATGTAATGCCCGAGTTTTATTGCGGGCGCGCACCAAAAATCCAAACGGAAGAAAGGTGAAACTGAAACCTGAGGCAACAAATATTTTCAACATCGATTTTGAAGTAAATTGTTGAATCTGCAATATACTTGTTTCATACTTTGTTCGGAATACTGTAGCAGAAGAAGAAAAGTGAGGAATGAAAATTCACAAAGAGATCATTCGGCCAACAGTTCTCATTTTTTATTGTTGCTTGTGCTGCCTGAAGTTTTGCAATCAAAGAATTGAGCCAATGGACCTATAAAACAGTATCATCTTTTCGCTATCTTCACCGTTCGTGTCAGTGCTGTCAGCCATTTTGCGAGAGAGAGAGAAATTGATAGAAATAACGGACGAAAAAAGAACCCCGTACACACATACCAACACAACGAATTTTCAAAGTATTGCAAAGTCGAAAACATTGTGAACCATTACCGTTTGCCATCGCTGGACTGTTGTTGAATGTATCGAGTGTAATTATGTTTTAAAACGGTGCGTTTCTATCGTTAGCTAGCATAAATATTGAATTATGCCGTGATTGTGTTCAGCTAACGCAAAAACGTACGTCCAAACGATACTGGAGGGAATCGTAGGATATCTGCAAAATGGTATGAATCTAAACAATGCGCGGGATGAAGTTTTCCACGAAGAACGGACAGAACTGACAGTGAAGCGGGGAGGATGGGGTTGGTAGAGAATAACAAAAGGCCAAAGAATGCGCACGTTAAAATGACTTTGCACCTAAAAGTAGTGGTGTGACTTGAGGAATCTTTTCGTTATTTGGGCGAACATGATGGGTTCTCTTCCTGTGAACAAAGAATGTTTCTCATGGCAAACGATGACAGAGGAGTGAAAGTGAGTGAGGTGGAGAGAGTACCATCAAGAAGAAATATATCCTTTCTTTGGCATTGATTTCGGCTCACGGAATTTCCGCCATATTCATCATTCATTTGCATTTTATTTTCAAAAAAAAAAAATATGGAGAAAAATTTGACACTCAAACAAAAAGCACAGCCAAAAAAACTCACATCCATCCATGACCCAAGCAATCGACCATCACACAAACTGATGAATGAAGTGTATGCTATATAAAAATCGGTCATTCAGCATAGCCAACACATTATTATTAATGAAATTGATAGCTTCAATGTGATTCTTCATTTTTCACTATATTCTTTTATTGAAATTTTCATTGTATATCGAGCGTTCATTTAAAGTTGCGCTCTTTTTTCTTGCACACACTTTTTGACTTTTAATTTTTCTTTCCAGTTCCGCCTGATCGTCCAATTATCTACGAGGCAAAGCGACGAGAAAAGGCCAAAAATGTGGAAGCGTACAACGAAGGAAGTGACGTTTTGCTCTTTTGCGAAGTGACTGGCGGTAAGTTTTTTCTTTTAATTGGATTTCAAATAAAGACCAAGACAAAACGAATCTCGCCGAGTCGATCCGTTCGCAGATGGGTCAATTGTTGTTTATAGCTTTTCAAAAGTTGTATTTGCACATGCATTCAACAATTTTTCACTTTTATATAATATTCAAGTCGTCAATACCATTTTTGATCCGATTTTCACATTGGGCCACTAAGATCAAGAATGACGCAAATCAGAAAAATAGCTCGAGCGCCCTCAATTTCATAAGTGAATCAATTTTATTTCCCGTTTTTTCTTTCGTTCGGAACTAACGAATGATATTGGTAATAAATATTTCCATCCTACGTGAAAAACTAAATATTTGGTCACATAAGCTTAGTCAGTCCAAGAGCTAAAATGATTTAAAATCTCAATCGATTTATTATTTCGTTGAATGGGGGCCATGTCTCGCATAAAGCTCTGTGTATGCATGTGGCAGTGCACACAACGGCGGTCAAGTTGCTGCTTGGACGTAACATTGTTGAAGCAAAGGCCATTTCAATCAGGTTATTTATATAACTCATGAGAGCTTGTTTGGTTGCTTCTATCGTACACAATATAACAAACAAATTTGATTCAGAATCACCACTGATGATAATTGGTACAGCAAGCATTGGACATAATGAAATGCTCTGTTTTAACGTTTACATTGGAATCAACTAAAAACCTCTTCTCTCTGTCTCTGTGTACACCTTTTGATGTAGAAAATAGACGCTTACATATTTGCTCGTCTAATGAAAAGCAAGCTGCTGCAAATCTACTTTCATATTGAAACTTTGTTTTTTTGATTATGGCGAATAAAGAGGAAGAATAGAGAAAAAGGCGAACCTGTGCTTTGCATTGGTGCAAAGTGAAATTCGGTTAAGTGAAACGTGCAACTAAATAGGAAACGATAACCAACATAATGAATGTTGGCAACATTTAAATTGAAATAAATACGAATCCGAATTGGAACTACGTCGTCATGTATGCAGATGTCGAAAGAGGGAGAGAGAGAAAATAAGAAAAAGTGCACAACTCTGGATGGATCTTGAGAATGCAACTGTACCTCAATTTTTCGATTAGCGTTTGTTACATTGAAACTCCTCGAAATGAACAGGAGAATGACAACAACAACCAAAACCAGAATAAAAAGCACAAAACACATATTTGGAACATTCTGACTGCGTTTGAATTTGAATTGAATGTATCCTAATCAGATTCTTGAGTGGATTCATGATTGGATGTGCTTTGCTGCCGGGCCTTCTCACAAAAGGTTGACAATGCAAAAAGCCAAAGAGTCGCACCACTACCATATTGTGGGCTATTATTTGCAATGCTCCTTTGTGTCTGGGCCCCGATAAGCAAAGGGACGGTAACTAACGAGCACGTCAGCCAGAAAGTGAGTGGGTAAAGCAGAGAGAGAGCGATAGAGAGTTAGTGAGATAGAGTGGGAGTTCAAAACAATTTTTCGACAGATAATTATAATTATATTCGGTTGGAATTCGGTAGCATCAATGCCAAAATAACCCAAAATAATATGTAGTTTCCGGCATTTATTCGAATCCGGTTTTTCTCGGCGGCAAAAGCAGCAACCATCCTCGGCCGTAGCATGTACTTGAGTTTCGTGCATTTGCCACATATTCCTTTGGAACGCGTATACCGTTTCGGAATAATGATGATACCGAAAATTTCAAATGCAAACAAATATTCCATCCATCCATATAGTTGGAGATGACTCAGGAATGTTGCTTCATTTGTGCACACTAACACACGAAATGGTCGTTGTGCGTATTGACGAGAGAGAGACAGAGAGACAGAGAGTGAGAGAGAAACGGTTTTCTCGTTTTGTGCTGTGCGAATTTGTGTTGTGCCAAAATGTTATTATTATGATGAATGCGATTCATAGAAAATTGAATGAGGGTTTTTACAGCCGCCCGCTCAATACAATTCTGTGTTCGTTTCACAATTGAAACCCACTTGGATTCTAGCGCATACATATATGTGATGAAAAACGTGCCCGTTTTATTTGTTTACATGTAAATCGGTATTCAACACGCATTGACTAACTGAGTAGTTTTGCCATGCTGTATTATTGTCTTTTGAGGGTGGCAAAATTATGGAGCGTGAGCGCACGGGTTGTTTGTATTGAAAGAGCGAGAGCAAGCGGGAGAGAGAGAGAACACTCTTTTCTCATTGACATTGCGAATCCTAATACACCCAATACGTTTTATATTTAATTAAATTTCCCTTTTCACTTTTCGAAATGTTCATGAAGAGAGTGAATATATGGCGCAATTCAATTGTTTAAAATGTGTGTGAATATAGAAATGCGCTGACGCTTTGTGGGTAATTGACAAACAGTCGAAAATCCATGTGTGTACAGTGTACACACACGTCTATAAAACCGACCAAATGAATTACATTGCATTTTACTATTATGTTGTATAGTCTTTTTTGATTAAAAAACGACTACCATATTTAAAGAAAATGTAGACTAGGTTCACGCAAAGAAACATATATGAGAAATGTAGAGGGAGAGCGGAGATAGAGAGCCTCATGTCGAGTATGCCTACATCAACATCCTCATTCACGTTAATTCATACTCACACTCTTGAGCTCTCGCATACATACACTAAACTGAATATGTTTAAAACACGCACAAAGATGTGCATATGAAGTTATTTGCTTAAACCTAGTAAGTGCTTTAAACAGAATGACTGCGACAGCGGCTGAATGGGGAGCAAGAGAGAGACTGAACAACATAAAATAATCGTTTGCACCCCATGTTTGCGTAATTGTAGATGTTTTTTTTTGACTTTTATTGCTGAAAATTACAATTAGTGTTCGTCGGCGTGGCATATATGGAAATTTCATATGCTGTTTGCGAATGCAAAAAAGATGACAGAAAATTATTGTTGTCGTACATCAGGCGAAATATTTGTTCGTTTCGTTAGTAGTAAAATGAATGTGGCAATTCTCAACCAAAGAGGTATATTGTGTGAGTATGTTGTACAATAGCTTGGTGGAAATCGAACAATTCCAAAGCAATTGGTATTACATGAAAGTGAATTAAAATGAGAACTAATGTATGTACTTGTACATTGTACATATGTATGTGTGTGTGCTCGCTCGTTTTCACTCTTACTCGCGCTCTCGCATGCATTCAACCGAAATCACATCTCCGTCCGTGGCATTCAACCCATTTTTCAGTTGGATACATGTAGACTATTCAGACAGTATTTCTTGCTTGATGACTTTTGTTATTTCATTTCTGCACGTTCGCATTAATTGCTAATGTCAACGTCAACCGAATACTGAATGAAGACACTTTTTTCGCATTCTCTTTCTTCTCTAGCTCTCTGTCTCTATTTCTTGCTCTCGCAATAGCATCGCCGCATTTAGATTATGGTGAAAACCCACCAAAGATAGGTTTAGGTGTCACACAGAAGGATTAATAATGAAAAAAAAAGCAACGGGGGGAAGACGAGCACAGACATTGAGCATTCCCCGAACGAGGGTCATACACATAATATTCAACCGAAATTAAAAAGCACTTTGCTCCCTTTTTTATTGGTTAATCCATTCGTGTTATTTTTCTTGTGCATAATTTTCCACGATTTTTCCATTTTGTCCATGATTAATGTTCTGTTTTTACTGCCACTTTTGTACCACCACTCTACATGCACATAAATTGTGTGGAGCCAACAGAAAAGCGTCCCAATGTAACGACGTAATCGGAAAATGGCTCTCAAGTCTTCTCTCGCTCTTGCTCGATCCATTCGGTTTGCTCACACACACACACACACACTCACTCATTCACTTTGGACAAGGTTCCATATAAACAAAACGGCCACAAATAAAATTAATTTCTGCTTTGGCTTGGTCACCGTTATCGTCGCCATTGTCGTTTCGGTTACCGTCTCGAAATTATGACCATTGTTGCGTTGCTAAAACCATTGCTGCTGCTATTGGTGCTGCTGCTGTTTCTACTGTTGTTGCCACCACTTCGAATCCAAATCGTACACAAACCATTTTATGCTAGTTCATATTTTATGCGTAGTAAAATTGCTCATTTCAAATGATGTTGAATTTTATATGTAGATTTACTGTTGCGTTTCATCATAGCGAAAAAATTGTAATAAATGCTTTTATTCATACGAAAAACGGCCAACACCGAATATTCACGCTGGTCGACCAGCAACAGCAACGGGACCAGCAACAATATCATCACTATGCTGCATCACAGATAAGAAAATAATAACGCTCGCATGTTATGGGTTATCATAGCATGATTCCAAGCACCGTACAGACACATTATTATCAGCGCTTTTATTGTTTCGGTTTTCTGTTCGAACTGCATGCAGTTCATGAACATTATTTAAACATAAATAATCTTGGATCGTGCATTGCATATACCAGGTGCTTACCACAGCTCCATCATGTTGCGCGCACCCAGATTACTTTTCAATAACGAAAAGAAAAAAAAACACATAAAATTCAGCTCAATGTGAGTAGTCATGCCCAACAACATGAATCGTAAATGGAAAATATTCAGCAAATGATGCTCTAGCGGCATCTATACGGTAGAGTTTGGAAATTTGATTAAATGATTTCGTCACAAGGTTTACCCAAATATTGGAAATGGTATTTGTCAAAAATGGCATTTCAATCGTCATTCAGGATTCATGTTAGTGAACTTCCGATATGGACAAACAGAACTCTAAAAGGTTTTGGATCTGTTGAATATAATAACATTGTGCTTCACAGCGTTGGTCATGCCATACATTTTGCACATAAAAGCCAACTTTATAATCCAATATAACATTTAATATTACAAAATGTTATTTTTAATCGTTTAAAATGAGTATATGTTATACAAAAAGAAGTATTATGACAATTTTGAGAGGTTTGAATAGGTAGGCCAAGATGATCTTCTTCAATCAAACATTTTGTATTATTTTGGAGAAAAAAGTATTTAATTGACTGCAG